ATCGATAAAGTTTTAGAGATCCATGGAAAAATTGATGTATTAATAAATAATGCCGGAATATCCTATCGGGGTGAAGCTTCTACTACTGAAGTAGATGTGGATATCAAAGTCATGTTGATTAATTATTTTGCTCAAATCGCATTGGCAAAAGGTATGTATTATTTTTAACATCATCATATGAATTTTGGTAGCTGAAGAAATTTAATAACTGAATGTTTTCAGCGATTCTACCATCGATGATCAAAAGGCGATCTGGACATATCGTTTGTATCAGTAGTGTCCAAGGAAAAATAGCAATTCCCTTCAGGTGAGACAAAAATAATGAAAAATATAATACATATAAGATGAAGGATAAAAATTTTTCAATGAAAATTATTATCTGCGATAGATCCGCCTATGGCGCTTCCAAACACGCCCTGGGAGCTTGGTGTGACTCAGCGAGAGCTGAATTAGCTAGCAATAATATTAAAATTGCAGTTATTAACCCCGGATACATAAAAACTGATTTATCATTGAATGCATTGACCGGATCTGGTGATAAATACGGAGGTGAGCATTTTATCTACAGTTATCTCATGATTTCCAATCGTTCGACGTAAATAAATTATTAATGCTCATAATATTTTTCATATATTTTCAGTGATGGACAAGACAATTCAGGATGGATATGCGCCAGAATACGTGGCTCAACAAATTTTAGCAGCTGTTCTAAGGGAGTCTAATGAAGTGACAGTAGCTCCACTCCTTCCAAGATTAGCACAATTTATTCGTTATTTTAGTCCATCACTTTACTTTTTGATAATGGAGAGGAGAGCTAAGAAATTAGCGAAAGAAGAGTGAAGTCCTTTCACGTTTGAAAAGAGTTTGTTTGTTTATTTTTGATGGATTAATCAAAAATCATCGTTAATGTACTAGACGGAATAATTGTTTATTTATTCTCATTCAGTTCGTTACTTTTTCCATAAAATCATTATCCCTGTCGAAGCCCCAGTGCTAAAACCTGAGTCTACCCAAAAGTTCAGCCATAATGATTAATAACATTGTGCAATTACTTAATTACTGATTCTGATATTCGGGAATGGCACTGACACTGACTTTTACCTTGTTCGGTAAAAAATTAAAGCAAATGTTTGGAATTTTGGATCATTTTCCCTTTATTTTGAAACAAATCAATCAATAAAAAATAATTCTTCTGGCGTTTTTGTTCCCAAACACAAGGGAATATGAGACAAAATGGGGCGTCTGAGATGAACGGAGTCACAAATTTTCACGCGAAAAAAAAAACCGAAGCAACAAAAGAGATTCATCCCCAATAAAATTGAAGGAGAAACTAATCGCACAGATTAGAAATAAATCATAATCATTGTACAGTACACTGATATCCTCCAGATGTCCCAATAGTTGCAACAAATGGTTTTTTTTTTCCATTTCATACTGTGTATTCTACCTATTTTATTTACAGATTAAAAAATACAATAAACTCTAATATTTATTACTCTCACCGATAAAAATAAAATCATTTTCCTTTTTTCTGTGAGAACTTGAAGAAGAAAAATTCTCATTCACCGCGTTAAAAAAAAAATACCAATAAAACTTGAATGAGTCAATTTCCCCCTCCCGATATTTTTTCAAAGAATAAAGAAGAGAAATGCAGAAAAATATTGTATGATTTTTTGTTGATTGAGGGTGTGTGAATGCCTGCATGTACGTGGGAATGAGGGAGGGGTGGAAAGAGTCATCCGTCGTTTACCAATTATATTGTATTATTTTCCTTTCTTAATGTGTTGTTGGACTTTGTTGTTTCAATTGAATGCCTGGTAGAGCCTCCATGCACAGATACTGAGGGCTGTAAGTGTTATTGATGTATGGAGTATTCTACGTCGCTTGTCGTCTTTTCTTACGAGAAATGTTGGTGATGAGGGTCCAAGAACCGCTAAAAGTTCAACATGAGGTAATTTGCTGGTATCTGTTTCTACTTGGTACTGACAGCATGGGTCAAATTGCCATGATACTGTGTATAATCCGCAAGTTATCACAGCTGTTATGCCGAAGGTACCACAAATGTACGGTCTATCACCCCAAACAATACCTGCAAGGTTCATAATTAAACATCACAATATATTCTCTTCAACAAAAATGATGAGCGTGTAGGTAAAACTGATCCTCTCCCCGTTTTTTTATACTTTCGAAGTTTTTTCTTCATTTTTTATAGAAGAAAATTATATCTATATTAAATGCAATTGATAAATATATTTATCGTCTCAACAAATCAATTTGGGATAATTAGAGAAAAATTGTGAGGGGGAGAGATCTATTTTAATCACCTTCCCCCGAAAATTTTAATTTTGTCGAGGCGTTGAAAATTTTGGTGGATGTTTCTGAGGGTGAGGGCTCGTCATTTGAGTAATAAAAAATAAAATAAATAAATTGTTTCTGTTTAGGGAGCCCATTTTACACTCCTCTCCACTAGCAAATATTTACCAGTGATAATAGCAGCTAATCCAGACAGTGAGGCTGTCTTGTGAAGGCAGTTTCCAACAGTAATCCACCTGGACGTCTCATCTCCAAGTTTCGATGGCTCAATGATAATCAAATTGTATTCAGCCTCGAGTGCTCTTTCCAATTCATATTCGAAAGCTTCATGTGCATTTGCACTGTCGTACACCTCTCTGATGATTGCAACTGTTGCTGATTCATCCCTAAATCAATTCAATCCACAAAATTAATTATTAAAAAAACAATTAAAATCCTTGTTCTTACTGATTAACAATAATTCCTAAATGAGCAGGATATTTAGTTATCTATTTTCTCACGTTAAAACTCGAAAAATCCTATCGTAACAATCGAATTAATTATTTCATGTGAAACAAGTTACATAAGCTGTTGATAGACTGTGGACAAAAAATTTGATAGAATGACAATAATGAAACACTTCATGCTACAAGTTTTTAAATATCATACAGTATAATCATAATTCAGTGTGACTCCGGGGGAGACTCTAAACAACAAATTATTCTTTCATTGACATTATTGTTTTCTCGCGAAAAGTTGTTTTAGGATAAATCAATAGCGTCATTGCTGGTACGAGTAACCCAGTGAGAAGCAATAAATAGAAATGCAATTTAAAAATATGTTTAACGAATAATAAATACGGTATTCAATACATACTATTGTCTTCTAATCATAATTCAAGGTACTGACGAAAAGAAATTAGATGAATTGACAGTAAAGTGCACTTTTCACTTGTAACAACTTCTAGGTTATGATGTAGATTATTCATATTATGGCAAATAGTCAATGAATTTTTATTGGGTTTAATGTTTTCGATATTTAGTGCCACTTG